CTCTTTCGTCCTCCTCTTTCCCGTGGGATTCGTTTAATCGTACAATTAATACCGTATCGCTTTCGATCGAGGAGACGCTGAAACGGGCTGAAATCGCTGCGTACGAGGTCAGCCTGAGGTTTACCTTGCCCCTTCTCATCCTTCGCCTGCAAGATCGTAGGTTGTGAAAACCTTGCTGTGTCCAGAGACGTAAATATAATATATCAGATTATTCCGTGGATGTTTTTCATCTCGCGCGAAAGGGTTAAATGAGACGATTATGAATCATTGTTACGCTTTCGACCTTCTTTTTCGGTGAAGTTTTCCGGTTTTTTGGACAGTTCCGCGGCGCCGTGTTTTGGTAACCAAGAGGCAGCGGAAATTGTTGAGTTGAAAGATAAATGAATTTTCGACGAAATTGTTTGCGTTCTGTTAGAAATTGCCTTCGTTGTATGACATTTTCAGGCTAATTATGGAAATGGATCAGGATGTGTTAAGACGATTCAGAGACAGACTTTTTTGTCATTCTTGTCGTACAGATTTTCCTTGTTCTTATGTATACCTGTGTAAAAGAAACTTGACGAATAATGCGATTCGTTTTGTTGGAGAGGTGAAAGAGGTAAAGCGGTAAGTCTTCTTAAAGTTACCGAAGCAGCGCGATTTGTGTGTACTGTCGACAGGACAGAAGAACTTTTTATTACGTCTGCACAAAAGAATATTGATCTTTCTTTTAGTCTGAAGTAAACTGGTCAACATAGAATTAACGTCTGGTATTAAATTTCTTTATAAAGAGCAAGCTGTTAAAAAGCACAACACGTAGTAGTTTTAATCACATCTTTTTATTAATACGGGTTTTCCGTTTTTCGATATTTCCAGTTGTGCAAATCATTCCACTGCACTGCGTTCTACATTTTTTTCCATTTAACTTGGAACTGTTTCTCGAAGTTATATTGCGTTCAATTTCTTACATTCCTCTCGTATTATTTCCAACCTTTGAAAGACGGTATAATTTTTCAGCTATCACAAAACTAAAATAAACTCTTCCTTATGAACAACCAGCTACTTAAAAACTTGACATTTTCGAAAATGTCGGGTTAACTTGAATTTTATCCGATCCGAATATCGACGCTGTCAAATTTTCATCCCATTTTACAACACCATCAGATAAATGGATATTCTTAACCGCGCTAATAACGTTAATAAATTATTCGATAATTAATTCTTCCCAAAAAATGAGTAACTAAAATACACAATTATCAGCAATCCAATTATTCGTATAATTTCAAGCAGACGAAGTCACAACAGCACCGTTATCAGTTTTCCTCCATTTTCGCTCAACAATCGATAACACTCGTTAAAACGATATATGTCAAAAAAAAAAAGAAGAAAAAGGAAGAAACAATTCCACGTTCATCCTCCTCCTCCCTTCAATTATTCCACTTTTATCAATTTCCTCGTTATTCCTCTCTTCTCCGAGCAGACGCATAAAAAGAGACATCTCATTAGAGCGCACTTCCGTCGAAGAAGAATACAAATTAATTTCCGTCCGCGGGCCTCGTGTTTACCGCTCTGATTAATCGTCTCCGTCGCGGGCCGCACTGTCGTTTCCCTTCCTTTACCACCCACCCATCCTCCCCTGCAATTCACCGTCCTCCATCAGCCACCCCCGTGGATTTACCCTGTTCGTTCATCTCGCGGGGAACAATTTTTTAAACTCGATGGTTCATTTGTTAGTCGACGGCAGCAACAGTATGCCCCGTAGAAACGGGGGATAAAACTAAATTCATAGCCGGTACATAACCTCTTAGTCAGGATGAACGCTGGTCTTCTAATTAATTTCCAAAAGATCTTCGTACCGGGACGTGGCCGTAAAATATAACGCGAATGTTTCATTTCGAACGAACGCTTTAGGAAGGCGTGTGCAACCTGCGATTTCCTCTTCCGCCTTTCTTTCCATCCTCCTCTTATGGTTGTCTTCCTTTTCATCCTCCACTCGTCTCTCTCTCTCTCTTTCTCTCTCACGAGCTCTCATTCCCCTTCGATCCTCTTTTTGCCCATCACACCGACCCTTTTTCCACCCCTCTTCTTGTTACCTCATCCAGAGAGTCTGGCCTTCGCTTCCTTCCGCTCTCTCTCGGCTCACCTTACCCCACACACAGGCCACCTAACTCTGTTTTATTTTTTCGGTGCAGCCGCGCCACTGTTTTCGCCGCTGTACGAAAATTATGAATCTTTTCAAGCACTCTTTGTAACCGGCGTTTCTTTACCCGCTCCTCCTTTATCCGCAGCCTTAAATCTTCCGTCGCCCGGGCTAACTCGTTCGTCTTGCAGCTGCACTCTCTCGCCCTCCGCCTTGTTTCCCGCCGCTTTGTCACTCTGTTCAACGCTGGCTCGCTGGTCATTTTGTCCAGAGCGTCGCCCCCCTTCTTCTTCTTTTTTT